TGCGGCCTCGTTCCCGCTGAGGCGGCGGAGAGCGGGAGCTGGGCCTGGCCCACCGGGAGGCGTCTCTGCGTCGCCCCGTCAGCGGTCTTGCCGCTCCCTCCCCGCTTTGGGGCTGAGGAGGCTCTCCGGGAGCGAGAGAACCGCTGGGAGCCTGGGGAGGGAGTTGGTGTTTTCATTAATTTTTGAGGCAAGGTTTGGAACTTGGGAAGTGCAGTTAGCTGGTAAAATGCTGCATCATTTTGGGCACTAGCCGGCTGCTGCGGGTAAGAGTTGCGAATCAATTGTTTTTTAGCACAAGTGATGCTCCCTATCTGTAGCATATCAGTATAGTCACAGCATTGTAATGGTGTTTCCTATTTCTGGTGTTAAATTTACCTTTTTTGCAGCTGAGCCGACTTCCCTTGCCCTCTGAACCTGTCATTCTGCAGGCTTTCTGAGGACGTGGGGCAATATGCTAATATGACCCCATTACCTCTCTGAGGACATGGGGCAATATGCTAATACAAAACTGGGTTGCAGGCTGGGAAGCCACTGTTCACAGAGGGTACAGGCAACTGCTGCTTGCTTGGTTTCTTTTAAAAACATTTTCCACCTTAATAAAACCTAGCTGGATCCTCATCCTTTTTGCCCAGGGCAAGCAGATGTTCTTTTTCCCCTACTAAGCAGGGACTTCAGTTACAACCGTGGTGCAATCTGGGTGAATTGGTGACCAAAGAAAATATCGGAAATGCAGTTATTCAGAGTAATCTGCAGCATTAGGGAGAGTAGTGATAGTGTTGGAGGTCCTGGACTTCAGAGCGCACCTCATCATTGTCGAAGTCCTAGCTTGTACTGCTTATACTCTTTTTCTTCATCTTTCCACCCTTTATTTAAATGTGCAGTTGAACCGTTCTGTTTCCAATGGCTGTTTGGAGTTCAAAAGAGTTCAGATCTGAGCTGGTGAAAGATGTTATATTTGGGAAGAAGAGGCTGCAAGAGTCTCTAGCTGTGTATCCAAATGGGTATTGAAAAAAGCATTAATATACACACATATGATGCCTGACTGCTTGCTGCTTAGTTATGGGGCTGGGTTTATTTTTTTAGGTAAGTCAACTTCACCCATAACTGTAGAGGTGATGAGGAGCTCATTAATACTGCATACTTGTGTGCCCAGGAAAAAGTTTTGGTTACAGACAACCCAATATATTAGGTTCCAGTTAGTTTAATGGCTTGATGTCTTAGCATATAAATATCCGTGAGTTGCCTTGCTACGCTGCTATGGATCCATACCCTCGCTGTCAGGATAGAATAGGAAAGGTGGAGCAGATCTTGTCTGTGCCGTTTTACAGTTATATGCTGTTGGAGGGAGTTTCTACTGGGGTTTTTTTGCTGTTTTGCTTTTTTAAGAGCTCCTTTCACAGCAAGCTGAGTTGTGAGAATATTTCTTTGTGGGAATAGTTGTGTCTGTATCCTTCATATATGCCAGCAAAGGTACAGTAATTAACAAATATGTATTTTCAGCAATGGTGATAGTTATGTCAGCAGAAGTCAGGTCTGCTCTACCAGGGTCAGATAAGTATGTTAGTAACTGGTTACAGTTGTAGTAGGTGAGATTTAACTTAGAAAGAAGTCCTGCTAAAGGTTCAATACATTATTGCCGTTAAATATTTCAGGTCATATGTGGAGATTTTACTGTGGATACTGTTTTTTTCATAGGAGATAACATGAAGCACTAGTACTAGTTTTCTGTATTTTTTTGCTATTTCAGGAAAAGCAGGCAACTCTGCCTTGTTTCACTTTAGTTAGCAGGACTTTGGCTTATGGTACAAGATGCTGGGGCTAAACCCTTTAGATGGAAAAATATGAAGTTAGTATTAATAGGTGAAGCTTAATCATGTGACACTGAAACTGAGGAAGTGGGAATTAACACCTCATGATTTGTTTCTAAATGTCATTCTTAATTGTATCACCAGGATTGCTTGCCATCTGTCAGCCAGGTAGGAAGGTTATTTTTACGTGTACCAAGGATATCAGTAAGAACATGAATGTGCAAATTCTATTTGGGGCAGACTTTTTTCAAAAAAAGATTAAGTTAACTTAAACTACATTTTGTTTTCACAGATGTGGCCCTTGTTTAAGGATAGCGCCAGCTTTCAATGCTCTGAGTAACAAATATCCCCAGGCAACTTTTTTGGAAGTAGATGTGCATCAATGCCAGGTTGGTATTCAAAAACATATTTTCAGTTGTAAGAGGAAGAGCAGGTAATGTAGTGAATGGGAAACTTGAACAAAAACTGTTCAGACGGTATACTAAGAGTAGTATCCTGTGGCTATTGATGTTTGGTGAATGACAGATAACCATATTGTGAAGTCCTCCAAAATTAGGATATGCAGCAAGGTGTGAACAAACAGCACTTTTATTTAGAAAAGTATTCTTGCAGTTACCCCTGTGGTGTCCTTCCTTTAAGCAGCGTATTACAGATGGTTTAACAGTTTCTGCTGCTTGTACTATTTAGATAATACCGTTAAATGTAGAAGATACTACCAGTACGAATTAAAAAGAGTAAGTCTTTCCAAACAAATATTGACATAATTATTGAGCAAAATGAAAAATGCAATAAACTGATATGATTAGTGGGACTAGATTCCTCTCAAGTACTACTCAACTGTTTTTAACAGACAACAGTGTTGCAGATGAGCTATTGATTGACTTAAGGATCGTTAACAAAAATTAACAATGGTATGTTGAAAGGAAGCATCTTGAATTACTACAAATTATAATGGAGAGGGATGAATATAGAAGTGGTAACAATGTTTGCAAATGACACTAAATTATGGAAAGTTTTGGAAAAACTACTATGAGTGCTTAACAGGTATGAAGACAGGTAGAAGTCAAATGGAATTCACCTTCTGCAGCATTGCGCTGCAGTTCTGGGGTGTACATCAATGTGGCTTGGGAAGGAGAGGGAATGCAGGTGTAAAGAAAGCTTGTAAAATAAAAGTGTTAAATTAAGCCATCCTCCGCTTCTGAGAGCAAGTGATTTTTATGGTGTACCAACAAATCCGCTGACAATGTGAAGTCCATCCAAAAAATGCCCAAGTCTATAAGGGTTTAGGAAGATCTGAAGAATTTAAATTAATTAAATAGTTTTAACTCAGACAACAATTTAAAAAAAAGTAACAAATATTTTTTGTGATATTTGAGGTGATGGAGCTTGATTAATATCTAGTGTGTGAATTCATATCTAGGTGAAGCATTGGTAATATTGTGTTAGGTAACACTTGTAACTAATTTATGCATTCTAGGGAACAGCTGCTACCAATAATATATCAGCAACACCAACATTTCTGTTTTTCCGAAACAAAGTGCGAATCGACCAGTATCAAGGAGCAGATGCTGTAGGTTTAGAAGAAAAAATTAAACAGCACCTGGAGAATGATCCTGGAAACAGTGAAGATACAGATATCCCAAAAGGATATGTATGCATGTCTTCTCTTAAGATAATTTTTTGTAATGTTTGTGTAACTTGAATGTTTAAAAAAAAAAATCTGTTGCTTTCTAAACATACTCTTAAGTCAAATAATGCTACTTCAGGCAAAACTGCAAGTTCCCCATGGCTTTGATAAGATCACTTGTCTGGGCTTCCTTTTTCAGACAAAATTAAATAATTAACATGTACATATTTAGTAAGTGTAGTTATAGAATTGTGAAATGTTTTAAGAAAAATCTCCACACATAGCCCTTGGTTCATTAAAATAATGAATTTAATATTTTATGATGAACTTTTTGCTGCAACTGCTTATTCTGCTTTCTTCTCAGACATTTGAACTGTCTTCCTAAAACTCTTTTTTTTTTTTAAGTGTAAAAATGTCCATGGGTAAATACGTTGCTTGACGTTGTTGTCAAAAATGTTGAAAAGTTGCTCTAGTTGTTCCTTAAGAAATCCTTGATGTTGTTTATGTGGTGGTAGGTTCATTTGGGGTTTTCCTTTTTCTTTCTTGTTCCCTACCCTTTCTTTAATCCTCTTTATTTCATCTCTCTTGGCAGGGGTAACCAAACAAAAAAAAGAGGGAGAGATTCTGTTGCCAAATGAATTAACCTTCATAACAATTCAGCTCCATCTTCCTCTGTAGCAGCTTACCCTGAAAATAGGATGCCTTTGAGGCAGTATTGTTAGATAAATCATCTCTCATGATATGGTGGGGTTTTTTGCCTAATCGCTAATGTTTGAAAGTGGATGGTACTACAGAGTGTTCTTTTTAGATTTCTTCTTGCCTGTAGAAGAACGACAAGGATATAAAAACTTATAAAGTAAATAATGTATCGCAGGAATAATGAATGATTTTTAAACCTTGCATCAAAATCTCTCATAACTAAAATTTGACTGTAACATTTTCTTTGTTCATGAATACCACTTTTTAAATTCTTCAGATTTTTTTTCTCATTACGTGATTTGCCCATGTCTTCTAGGTAAATCAAAACTTTGTAGGGATACTTGGTGTTTTGGCCAAAGTTTCAGGAAGAGAGCAATCTGCTTAGAAATACTGGTGCTCTCAGGAAATTATTTTCACCATGTTCTGTGTGTTTTCATGTTACCTCAAGGCAATGGTGTGTTGCAAATCATAAGCCTGTCTGACAGCTGTACTAACAAACACATGTAAATGAGAACTCTAATGTGACAAAACACTTTCCTAGAGTGGTATTCTCCAAGCAGTCCTTGGTGTAATATTACTCCTTAAATGAGATTGTCTATTGTTCTCCCAAAAGTATAAACACAGTGTATTACATTTCACCTAAGTCGTATGTCACAGTTCAGTGCTTAGCTAGTTGCTATAGTGTGCACAGTACTTTGCATCAGCAAATCTTACATGTTAGACTTAGCTGTGATGAGTATCTATAGAACCCAAAATTATATTGTTAAATGCAAAACCAGGTTTTCTGGAGGTTAAGTAAATTCATAGCTAGCCGTATCCTATCAGGCAAACGTAAGCAGGGTTCAAATCCAGTTGAATATTTCTCATTTAAATAAACTGCAAGAGCACAGGTCAATTGAATTTCTAGCTGTTAACTACTTGCTAACTGTTGTATGGTACGCGTTGCACTTTGTGTGTGAATGCTTCCACTTATAATTATTGTGAAATCCTGTGTGGAACTATGGGAATGTCAAAAGACAAAGGTTTGGCTTGTTAGCTTTGGAGCTCTAAACACACTGAAAATCATTGAAGTGGCAAGTTCAGGTCTGCTTAGTTAGATGGGTTTTGAGATGAACACACCATCTTCTATTAAAAGTTGAACACACCATCTTCTATTAAAAGTTAATCTTGCAGGAGGTGGTGTCTTACCCCTACGAATCAAGCCCTGAGTATGTTCAGGGCTGTATGAGCCAAGCAGGAATTCTATTTGACCCGTAAGTGCTAGGCTGAAGGCCTGTTTTAGGATATGCTTGACCCAAACTGGACTGCCTTTGGCTCCAGGAAAGTATTCTTCTTCTCTTGCACAGCTGTGTGTTCCTTCTCCTTACCTTGTATCTACTGAGCATGTGGGTTGCAAGAGAAGCCTTCATTTGGATACTGGGAGGGGGATAAGTATTTTTTGCTCAGAAAAACATAGTTGCAAGAGCTAAAGGAAGCAACATACAGGAAATGAGTTGTATTCTCTCAGCAGCCTGTTTTTGGATTCTGTTTGTACAGTGAAGATCTAGCCTGAGTTGTTGTACGCAGTAATTTTCAAGCTAGTGTGTGCTTTTTTCCCCAAGAGTGGCATATTATTCTTTGTGACCTAATATATGCCTTTAAGAAGGGTGTTTTTGGCTGTCATCCTAAAAGTTCCTTTAGTTTTTTATGTCTGGACTGTTCTGTGCCTGTACACTGATCTTGAATTTGTACCACTTGTACCATGTGAGATGTTAATACTCTGTCTTTAGGCCTTAAGATATGAAATACTTGATTTTTAGTCTGGCTTACTGTGCTTCAGTTGGACTTAGTTTACTTTAGTTGCAGGCAAAACATTCTGGTTATCTGGAAATTCATACAGATTATTCTGCCTCTGCAGTAATACCACCTTTTAAGTGGTTGGGGCTTGGAGCATAGTTAGTGGCCTGCTTTGATCTGAGAATGCATGTATGTTAAAGCTTTTAGCTGGACCCTTTACAAAAGAGCTGAGCAATAAAACAAACTGGTTCCTGGTGAGTTTTGTAGCTTCTGTCCTCTGTTCTGTGTTTTTACCGAAGTGTATATAGAAAGGAGTAAGAAGAGGTTTCATAAAGTTAATTTGTATACAGTGCTGAAAAAGACATAAAGTAAGACTAGCTCTGCATGTAAGGCCTGGTAAGAACTATAGTGGTGGTCTTTTAATTTGTATATTTTTAGGGAGGCCTGTTTCTGTTTTTGTTTTTTCTTTTCTGTTAAGTTGATCATAGCTCCAGTCTAATGTCAGTTTGTCCATGTTGTGGGGTGACTTAGGACTTTGTAGTCTTATTTATCAAAACTGTATCTGAAAATTCTCCCTGTGCCCAATTTCTTATTCTCAGAATGGCAGGCATGTATTGCAGGGGTGAGGATTTTGAATAGAGGGGCAAAAATGTTGTTCAGTTATGAACTGGATACATCAGAGTACTATAGTATTCATAGTTTTTGTTCATAATGTCTTTTGATATAAGCCCCTGAGGTTTTCTGGGTGTCTTGTTATTCCAATCTGTTGAATGAAGAATTTCATTCACTTCGACGCTTACTAATCCCAGATGAGTTCATGGTGCACTTACGCACTCAGCAGTACTCTTGCTTTTACTTCCAGATGGATTTAATGCCATTTATCAATAAAGCTGGCTGTGAATGTCTTAATGAGAGTGATGAACATGGATTTGATAATTGTTTACGTAAAGACTCTACCTACTTGGAATCAGACTGTGACGAGCAGGTACAGTAGATATTTTTAAGTGAGATACTTTCAATGATGGTCTGGTCTGCAAGCATTTTTCTTGGAATTTGTCTGCTTTATATTGTTATGGTAGTGTAAGAAAGAGTGGGAGATGGTAGTTAGGATGTAAGTAATATTGGTATACAAAGGTCATTGTAGCATTTCCAGTTTCACATCCCTTTATGTATGGAAAAAAATTCCAAGCAGAGTAGCATTTAGTGATATTCTGAAGTGATAGACTAGCGCATGTGTGGAATATAGTGAAGGTGAGTACTTAAATTTATTTCAAAGCTCAGACTTACTTTCAGTTAATTATTTTGCTATGTTTGTTTAGAAGAAAGAAGAAAACATTATTTAACAGTAACTTTTTTTCTCCACAGCTGCTTATTACTGTAGCTTTTAGTCAACCTGTCAAGCTTTATTCTATGAAACTTCAGGGGCCAGATAACGGTGAGTGAAGTGTCTGCTTAATCATATCTTTGAAACTAAAGCTTTGCCCATGTTTAGCTGATTTTTCTAAAAATGAGACTGTTGTCCCTGGAACCTTTTACCTTCTGAGAATTCCACAGTAGCTTTAGTAAATTTGTTGTAAATTGATTGCATAACAAATTATCTCATTAATTTTTTTCACTGACCTGATGCATGGTTATTTGGTATGACACAAATGTAAGTATTTGCTACAGTTTGATATGCTGCAAAGAGATGTCCTGATTTTGCTGGGATAGAATCAGGAAAGCTGCATTTGTAGGAAGACCGCAG